TACGTTACTCCATCCCAGCGCATACTCAAAGTTATTCAGATAATTCATTGAGGAGTTGCAATGCAGTTCACGAAGATGGGCACAAGTTTGGTCAATGTTTGTCCTGTGGCATGTTACACTCTTTTAATTCATGTAAATTTTATAATTCTAAGTGCTTTAAATGTGGTGGTATTGGACATATTCACTCAGTTTGCAATTCTGATCCTAATAAGTTGAGTATTTATAATGATCATTTATGTTTATCAATGGTTTCAAAAGACAATCCAGAGGTATATAGCAGTTCATAGTTAAATGAAACTCAGAATCCTTGCGAGGCAACAATTCCTAATCATTCAACCTATCAGATTTTTCATGTTATTGTGCCGGATATGATTTTTCCTAATGATTCACATATTTCTGATGAAATTTCTTACAAATCTGGTGAAAATATTTCGGATGAACCTAATCATGATCGAAACTGATGTAGTTTTAATTGATGCTGATTTTTCTAATGATCCTTTACTATTCAATGGCATTCTTAATAAATTTGAGGAAACTATTTCAGAAGAATCAAATCTTGATGTCATATCAAATATTATTTGTCCTCATGATGCATTTGTTTCTTGTGAGAAACTTGTTCGATGCGAAGCACGAGTAATAAATGAGTTAGAGTTTGATTACAATTCAGATAATTCCATATCAACTGTTATTTGTCCTTATCATATATTCACTTCCAATGTTTACTCTAGTCAAATTGAGAAAAATGTTTTAAATGAAGCCGCATTATTCATAACTTGGGGATATGAAGATCCGACATTGCTTCGTGAGGGAGGATAGTCTATGGTTCATATTCTAGGTAGTAGTTTCAGTATTCGACCGGCATGGTGATTGTTCACAATCCCAGAAATCAAGTGAGTCTGTTCCGATTTCCGTTGTTAATTCTAATACTAGTGAGTGCATCCTAGATAATACATAGTCTTTACCCAATACACTGTTGGACAGACATATGATGAACTTAAGAAGAAGACGTGCAAACAATTACAGACACCTGGACTCCAATTTAAGCTGTGGCAGATGTGGTGTTTGAATGAACTAATGATTGCTTTGTACTTGTTGAATGCTTGATTTCGAATTCTAAAGTTCCATAGTTTCGGCAGCACATTGTTTACAATAAAGGTGACAAAGATGAATTTAATCGCACAACTTCACAGTTGCGCAAATTTTTATCCTGAGACCTCCAAATCTTACTTATGAACTAACTGCAGAATAAATCCTACTCTCCGGCCCGGATGTTTGCCGATTATCTTAAACATTACGAAAGCGTCGAAAATAAAAACGGATGATCAGGGTCATAAGGAGACCATATACTTACATGGGAACGAGAGGAAAGCGATGAAATAAAATCCAACCTGCCTAGATATCAAGCAATCAACCTACAATTCAGCACAATACAGCCACTAATTTATATTGTTCGCAGTCAATCACTTCTAAATGCCTCCACAACATGTAATTACGGTGAATGGGAGTATTCGAACTAACGTATTAACTAAGGATTCCTGAAATAGCGCAATTTTAGTCAGATAAAAGTAGATAGGCACAAATGGACGCGTGTTTTTGTAATTCGCAATAAGTGGGAAAACAAGTACAAAAGAATGTTTAATCCATACAAATATCATAGTTATGTAGGCTCATTGTTTCGAAATATCTTTGCCATCAGGCTTAACTACATAAAAATCTGCTCAAGCACATGCTTTCCTTCTCTTTCTCCAAGGTCATATCGATAATTTGATCTCGACCGCTGTCTCACAGTCGGAACGTAATAGATGGGTAAATAATGCAGCTTCTGACGAAAGACTGTAGAACAATCGTTGAGCAATACTTGTAAATAACTCCGCTTTAGTTGAACTATGACTTCCGTTCAGGCACCATAATGTAGTACAGATAAATCTATTTTATTGGGGATGTTTTCAGATTTACCACATGTGACTTTAATATATCGTCGGGTAAACGGTCGTCGAGCATCAAAACTAGACACTTCAAATCGTAAGCCGTAGAAGGTGTCGCTAGAATGTTAGCGAAAAGACACAAGGGCCAGTCAGTGTGGTGGTTTATAGTGTCTGATATGATAAGTTGTAGTCCTAATGAAGCCTACGAACACGATGTACAACTCTAGCACTGATTAAAACCTTCGCGCACTACGGTGATTGGCTTTGCCTGACTTCTTCATCTGCTACACCTCACGACCATAAGTTTTCCACGTCTGACGGTTATGAACTTGAGAATCTAAGAGGAACTTATTAAGGGTTTTCAGGCCTGTCATTTTTTGAAGATGATTTCCCTGCTAGATTCGACGTAGCAAGGGTCACCTAGACTGGTAAATCAACAGAAAAATCAAAAAGGATACACCTTATTATTAGTTGACATTGATTAACAACTTACAACATACTATAATGAGACCATAGGCCCGTTAATTAGAAATTCAAGCAATGATCTGTCTATAACGCCAAAAGCAGACCCTGAGTTAAAGACACATCAGACGGTTAGATGAACATCAAGTGCCACATTATTATTAAAATCGCTGATTTTATTCAATATTTTACTTTTAACACAATACGAAATTCTCAATTCAAGGTATCTCAACAATTTTTTTTACAAAAACTGAAAACGTAAAAGGAATCGAGACATAGAATACAATGTGCCGTTATGTTTCAGAGAGGTAAGAATATAGTCATTTGATAAACTGGAAGGGATCTGAAACATTTGTTTTTCAAGCAGAACTGTAGATCATAGTTTTAATTGAAATATGACTCTCCTTAAACGACATGGACAACGAAACGAGCACAGAAGACATGGAAGTTTTCCGACCCGGAACGATACACAAAACGGGAGGATTGGAGATATACATTAACACCCACATCAAAGCGTAAACTTTTCGGAAGCAAAGTACATATCTTGTAAGAAAAGATTCTGTCCCAATCATGACACGGGATGCTTGTCAAAGGCAATAGAAGACCCTGGCAATAATTGAACGCTTTTACATAACGATTTTGAACCTATTCTGTTCTTGGCAATAAGATGTTGCGCCCTTATACAAAGCGACTGGTCAAGTAGCCTAAGAATAACTTATCCGAAACATATCTATAGGATCGTAACCACACGAAAGCCCACGTACCAGAGGGTCTGAGATATTAAATGCCTCGGAGGTTGAAACCTCACCAAATTAGTAATTCAGATAGGCTTGAACGATAACTCCAACTACCAGCTTAAAGACTAAGAACACATAAACTCAAGTTCCACTCAATTGTGTGAGAATTATCCATCTGTCAGCCATGTCAGTATCAAGGAGACTAAACTCTCAGGCAAGTTGCCAAAAAGCGATAGCGTACACTCTACAATCTTGAGTCACTGGACGAAAGTAATATTTATACTAACACGTGACCTGTTCTAGAGCTCGGCAGAATTCGGACAACTACGGAAATGGAAACAGGAGACCTACTTCTATCTAAAAAATTAGAGATAGAAAGGACCTAACTTGCCACAGACAAGTTAAAATACCTTCAATACTGAATTAGGCAATGGAAGGACTGTTCAACGACCAAACGAGGGAACACAAGAACAAAACAACTTACTTAATGAAGCGCAAGATTGATCCATAAAATTCAGATTCTTGGCGTCCTAAAATGAGACAGCCTCTCGTGGCTTTTGATGAGCGCTTGAGAGATTACTACGCACATTCCTAATAGTGAAGGTTATGAGGATGCATTTATCTGACCCAATTATATCTTGGCCTCAAAATTATATGGAGAATAACACAGAGTGCTCGCGAGCTGCAGGAACCACAACGTTGTTCGATTCCCCCACTGAAACGTGACATAATCTCTTAGCCGAAGTGGGTGAAGATGGATTTCAGAACTTCGAATAGTTTTCACTGTTCTGTTGGAAGTTCGGCAATCTAATAATACCTCAGAATCTTTCAAGCACGCCATTTTAAGTCCGTCACAAACATCCAACTAGAACATCACGACCACGTCTAACTAGTCAACCACTGAAAACTTGCTTGTCATAAAGCAAAACACTTCGGTAAACTCTTACTTTTTACCATTAGTCGTTCACCACATTTGGAGGGCTCTCCTGGACGAAGATATTTTAAAGACGAGACGCGAAGAACATATATTCCTTGATGAACTAGAAACTCCCTATTGAGCTAGTTGCAGCTGAATTACTCCTCTGAAACTATGGGTGGTTACTATAATATGTGATTAATTACTTCGGATCACGTTTATCATTTGAAAATTGTGTAAATTTCCAGAACATATAGTTTTGTAAGTCCTCGAAATTAATGACGACATCATTAATTATACTGGATGCTAGCTAGATGAATGCGATCGTTCACGCATCCGTACCAGATCATGGGAGTGTACGTCGTGCTACGCATCCTTTGTAACAATTAACCAGCTTTGGCAATACATTCTCCGACGTACGGACAGCTCTTCAAATATGTCTTCAAACCTCTTCATTTCTGACTTCTGATTTGTCTGGGTTGACATATTTCGATTAATAAAGGTGTTACTGGTTAAGGCGTTGTCAAACACTGAACACATGTTGCACCTTTAATGTTACAGACAAAGGCGCTGTCGAATAATGAATATTTGTCGTATCTTACGCTTTAGTTCTCTCTGGATACCTGAATTACCAATTAACTTCTTCCTTTATTTCTTCAAACGATTAGACTTTCAATTTATTGTTCTTCACACTGCAACCAAATGACCTTTTAACTAAAAAAAGCTGGCTTCTGGTATACAGAAACTTCAATGTTCTCAGAAAAATGTCCTCAACCAAATTGCAAGATATACAAACCAACAAATAACTGACAAATGGACTAGAATTAGTTCAGTCGAGTAACTAGGCAACCACCTATTAGAAATTTAACAAAGAACTGAAACTACGCTGAAACAATTAGAAGCGAGTACAAAGAAATATATCGGTTCAAATAAGCTCGTACTAATGATATGTGATTGGACAATGAAACCGACTAGGCTTTTCTAAAAGGACGCTACACTTATGAGACTTCTTGTTGTTAGGAAATGCAGTTCAATCCTGAATCCTCTGTGTCGGGGTATGGCATGTAGGTTTACTTAGGAACATTACTTTGCTTTATCTCCAAATAAAACCACTTGACATCGGTAATTTAACTGTACATCTACTAGCTTCACTGGGAAGGGTTGCTTAAGAAACCCTCAAATTTGAGGTGAACACCATCCAAACGGTTGTCGCTTTAGTCACTACAGCACTAAATATATGTCAGCATTGTTTAATTTCCAAGTACCTACTGCATTCGTGTAGTCTAACATGAAGTGTCGAGGTGGGAACTGTAGTCATGACTCTTCGAAACTTCCTATTTTGGGAAATTCTCGGGTTTTCCCTAAAGTCGTTAGGCACTTGGTAGTTTTCCCTAATATTTCGGGAAAAATCCCAAGGTGTTGTAGAATTCTGTGGAACTATTGAGGAAGGCCCAAGATTTTCACAATAGATACTGGGGATTTTCTCCAGATCTGCGGAAATTTTAGTTTTTGTGCCATTCCATCAAAATTTTTTATAGCGCCTTTCTCTAAACTTACCAAGAACGGACATTTTCTCAAGAACTAGGGAGATTGGGTTAGTTATGAATGTTATACAAATGAATGGACTAGTTCATATATCTACCTACCTACAACGGATTATAAGAAAGTGAACCTTTCAATACAATGTTGTGTTAATTAGTTCGATATGTAGAATTGTGTTAAAGTTTTGAAACGTGTATTCCAGTCATAAATAGTCTTAAGAAGATGCTTTCATCCCGCTAATTCTAAAAACAATCGTATTGCCATTTCCACGCAAATATCATGGTATGGCAACATCATTTTCTAGTGGTCTGAGTGTGTTATATTGAAAGATTAGTTGGTTTGTACAATAGTTCGCTAAATCTGATCAAGGTCTTCGATCTTGGTTATGTTGACGCTACTCATAGATATCGGTCCTCTAGGTGATGCGAGGTGTGTCTGTGAACTATTTCGCCATTCATAATACTGGCTGTATGGTAATGTTAGTCTGATAATTTCTTATTAAAACCAAATACCAAGGAGTCCATATTTTATCCATCCTGGAGACGTATATCGCAACCGATTGTTCTTAAACCCCTTCTGATAGTTCTAGCTAATCTAACCATTTCACGTGGCATATACGTAATATTATAATGCATAATTAGATACCCAGGACAGCCACCACAACTGGGTAACATAACCCATCACCGACTAGAAGCCATTTTATCAATCGGTGTAATCTACTTCCCACGCGGTTAGTTTGCAGCAGAAGTAAATATTCTTTAGAACGATCCCGTACTATTTGGTGTTTATCCGTCCACGATTTTTTACACACAACATATCTATTCATTGTTATTGTCATTTATAAACTGATAATTTATGCAGATTATCACATTGAATGGAAACCGAAACCGTATCCCTGCACAAAGGCCGAACGGGAAGCGGCTGCTAAACGTTACAATCTCTTACCTTCTGATTATAAACCATTTGAGAATGATGGTTTGGCTCCAGGAGACTACTTCTATGTAGAACCATATAACGCGGACAATCGCAGCCCATGGGAACCCTATGACTTCCCACGTGAAAGACGAGATTTTAATGACCCGCAACCGTTCAACGCTCAACTGTATCTTGCTTCCGGATATAATCCTGCAAAACTAAATGAAATTTTAAAAGGCCGGCCAGTGTAAGCTGTGGTTCATAGATTTCACTTGTAATTAAGGTGGTATGTAATGTTCAGAACGTTTGCACCGTTCTTTGGCCTTTGGATGTTATTATATCTCGGTCAAATGTATTGCGTCTTTTTCCCCCTGGTAAGTACTATAAATGTAAACCTCAGTTTTTGTTTTATAATCGAGTTAGTTATAATATTTCCAGGACCATCCGAAAAGTAAGACTACAAATTTAAAATTTCATGACAACTCCAAACTTTAATTTCTTAGAAAGTAGATAACGGGACATCTTCAGCAACTTCCAGGCGAACTTATAGCTACACTTTGAATATCAACCATCATGAATTTGCCTACCGACTTATAATGCGGTAAAAAAAGAAGCTGAGACAACTAAACAGTAGGACTCTGAAGCAGTAGTTTTGAGTTTAACTAACAGAGTTGGACCGCTCCAATACTATATACTGAGTAGTCAATTTGAGAAGCGTAATGTCTCTAGTTATTTGATGTCTTCATGGTGTACAGAGGAAAAAAGTTCGCGAACACAACAGTTCACTAAGTGGTTCTCTTCTGTCACGAGATCTAATCATTATAAGTGGACAGCGGGTCATTGACATTCGACTGCATATTTTCTCGAAACACTTTTCCATGTGGCAAAACCACTAAATTCGTTGCGTCAAAGTTGGGCAAAAACATACCAATTGACAGCTATACCAGCAGATTTGTACTTCGTAATGACCACCATGTGTATGTATAAGTGACCCCTAAAACGTCACGTATATTTTGGGTTATACGTATAAGGTATAACTTTGAATAAAGTATGTTGTTTCTAAATTACAACCTGCGAAAGCCGTTCAGCAGCCAGCTAACTGAACGAATTCGCTTATCTAAAGCCTAGTACATATCTCAACGTTGTTCACTAAGTGGACATTAAGGTAAACTTTAGCCGGTTATCCAAAAACGGTTGCTAATTTTTTCTCTTCTTTTTACAGAAAGCAAAACAATATCCATATGCAGTGGACAAAGAAAATCACTATACTTTTGAAAAGCTTGGTTAGATCTATATGTTCGAATAGAAAGTAATAAAGTCGTAGCAAACAAAAAGAATGACTTATTATTGGGATTTTTTATTGCCAGTATAATTAACCACAACTATTGGCTTCACATTAATACACTGAAATTTGGGACTGCGTGGGCACAAACATTGGAGTGCCATTCTTGATAAATAACTGCAACATTCCGTGGATAAGAAAATTATGTGCATCGTGTATTCAGGTTTTCCGACTCGATGTTGACTTTTTCAATTGTCGTTCATACTGATATTCACGTTCACTTGCTCTATTGAAGAATGCTTGTCTTTCCAAATACCTATTTTAAAACGAAAAACCCAGTAAGTTAACTTAGCTTACGAAAAAGAACCTACAATTACAGACCTCATCAACAACCAGATATTTTAATTAGCGGTGCACCTGAGTGAAACGACAAGATTATGGAGACATGAAATCAAAACCGTTATCTATGATTTGAGTGTATTAAGTTAATTATGATTAGCGGTGACATCATATACTACTTGTTGACGATGGATGCTTTTGTTTCTGGAGTGGAAACTTCAAAACTAAGCAGATAGCGTCGATGTGTCAACATTCGGACTTAGACGTCAATTAATGTTGTCGAATCAGCTTAGTTGGTGATTAGTATCTGTAAATACGAAACAATTCTCTCACCACTGCAATAGAACAGCATTTATGCGTTGATAAACTTGCACTTTTACCCGAGGGTAGCACATTTCTGATAAAGTAATTGGTCTCTGACGAGTCTCTACCTATGTTTCATTATACCTGTCAATGTCTTGCGTCTATGAGGTTGATTTGAGACATGTTCATTTTGAAAACTGCTTTTTTAGGAGGCAACTATCATCCAGACTTACTAGACCAAGTGGTGTAAATGTGTGTAACCCAAAAACCAAGCAATCAGTACTAGTGTAATAGGCATGTGTTATACTTCCTCATTTGGTCGTCAAGGCTACTGAGACTACTCTTTTCTTTAATACAGTAAGCAACAACTCAAAACTCTTGACATGCAACAAAATTATCACCTTACTGACTATTTGTAAATCGTATATATGAGTATATATTGTTGTAATCTTACCCTTCTTTCCCTTTGTTATGAGCTTTGAGGTCATCTTCCAAAGACTCTTTCTGTACATATTGCTTCCAGTCAAGACGCGACTTTTCCTATAATTTCAGTAAAATAAACGTTTCTACATTCGCTGGTTATAGCTCATGTATTTTTACATAAGAAACACAAAAAGATAACCACATGCCTAGTTCTTTTCACGGACTTGATGATTATGATAGCTTTAATACACTATAGTACAATCTAGCCATATTTATATTCATTTAGTAGCCCCTGAGCCTTATCGAGAGTAAGGCCTGGTTTATTAACTGATATACCAGGTACAGACTAGAGAAACTGGTTTTGAGCCACATTCTACATGTGATGACTAGTTATACTAACGAGCTGCCTAAACCAAAGTAGGTAAAGTGGAGCCACCATTCAATAAAAAAGTCTTTCAACTCTGTGTGGAACTATTGTAAAAATGCTCTAAAACCCTGCTTAGTGCTTTGTGAGAAAATATAATTTCTAGTAACATACATAAATAACACTAATGTAACGTAACAAATTATCATGAAGAAATCCGGAACTTACTAAGGTAGACAACTTGGGTAGACTATTTATTGTGGATTTCAAGTTTTGCAGAGCGTTAGTTAAACCGAGTCCCAAAGACGGTGCTCTATATTAAAATGATTTGTAAATTGATGCACATAATAAGCAGATTAATCTGGTTCAATCAAAATAAGGGGAATATAATTTGTTTTGTCTGAATGCTTTTTTTGTGGCGTGAAAATATTAGCAGAAGAAATACATCTTAGAACAGTTACTGTTATGGCCAATATACCAGCAACATTACAGCAAATACTACTAGTTTTGCAGCTGTCACATATTTTAGTGAGACTTAGTTACTAGCCTAATTAAAGTGCACGAGGACGTACTGAGTTTATCAGGAAAAACTAACTTCTGGAAGCCTGAACGGACTTTCTTGCCCACTTTTAGTACTAAATGAGGAATAACTTGGGAGGAAATCACTCACACTGTGGGAGTAGCTTAACCTTGATGTAAATTACCTGCTTTGTATTTTCTGTGTAGCATAAAAGGCAGAGGATACCTTTCCTACTACAACTGCTGACTGACGGCTTTCAATGTTTCACGGCAAAATAGCTCTGATAATTTCCCTTGAGTTGAATCATATTTGTATCCATTAATTATTATACTCATATATGTATATCATAATCCACTGGTTGCAACACAAAATGCAGATGCGTATGAAAATTCAAGTATTACAGGACGTAAGGTACGTGTATATGAAATATTGCCGATATTTTAACTAAAACAGAAGTGTATACGAAGTGTTTCATAATAAACATAGTTTTGCTCATCCATTAAGTTAAAATAAGTTTTGGGTTATATGCAGTGCTACTGGTATAGATCATGATACCACGTTCATCAAAAGAAAAGAGGGAGCACGTTGTGATGTTGTTCGAAATAACTATACACTTGTTACCAAGTTATTACTATTAATCTATACAACTATTGACTGTATCCCCAACTGAACAACGGTTTCGCATAGGACTTACTTTGGTTTGAGAGGATTTGTCTCGCCTGAAGTCTTATTCGAGTTTGAAACTGCCTGAATGACTCTGAAAACAAGCAAGTTTTTATAGATAACGGTTATACGGTTTACATACAAATATAGTTAAATAGGTGATTGATAGTTTACATGATAACACTGATTTCTAGTGATTCGGAAACGAAACAAATGCTTGAAATAGACGAAAATTCCAACGTTTAAGCTCAGGGTCGTCGTGCAACAAAGGTAAAGCACGAAGGTAATCACAGCTTAGTGCAATCTTCAATAACTACTATAACACAATGGAGATCCCAAAACGATGTAACCAAAAAGACAATTAAAAATAGATGGTTTATGTTAAAAGCCTGTCTGTATCACAACAGATCGTAATCAACGATAAGTCTACACTTGTAATACGCGCCATAAAATCAGTTAACTGTAATGCGCGTAGGGGTCGACACGAATGTACATCGGTAGTGGTGGGAAAGGCACTAAACAACAAGATTAAAAAGAGATATACCCAAGGAGTAAAGACGAAATAGAATTTAAAGGGTGGGTCCCGCTTCAGTAGACGCAGCCTTAACATTAAGTCAACGGATTTGTCATATATGACTTGCCCTACACCTAACATTAGCATTGGTTGCTCAAACGTGCAGGCAGTACTTTCAGCTTATGTAGGGGTAAGTGCAACGACTGAACAAGATAAGTTTTCTAAAGATCATCGATGAGGTGAGGCCCTACTAATATTTTGAACACCCGCATCAAAAAAACGTCAGTCGACACTCATCGAGATTATTGCATATGTATTGATCAATAATAAAAAGTCTGCAGTGAGTACGACCAGTCAGCTACAACGTAGAACCAGGCACATATATGCATCAGTCCAAATTGCCATAGCACAAGAGAATGAACACCAAATTCATAAAAGTAGTCAATTCAGTGGTGGTAATACATAAAAGAAAGATTGCATATAAGGACAGTACAGGAAGAACTGGTTCGTAAAAAGAAAGATATGAAGCGGTCTTAATTTCAGTTTAAAGAAAGACAAAGAGTGTATACACCTAAGTCATTGTGATCGATTTCGAGCCAAGTCACTTAGTCTCCAACCATTGGTTACGATAGTCACGCGGACCCCAGCCAAGTAGTCTGCATTTACTATCAATATGGAATTAAATTTCAATATTTGTTTTGTTACAAACTCAGTAAAGTGGTAGTCAGTAGCGTAAGCTATTATCAACAACTAATCAAGCTACAGTGTAATGTATTTATTTTATAATAGTACTAGTAGTATACTACAGCTATCGTTCGACAATCTCAGTCACTATGAGCAGCCCGATGATTTAAACGAGTTTCTTGGCCTCAGTGGTGTATACCTAATCAAGAAAAGCTACTTAGAAAAGATTGAAGTCTAGCATAATGCACTACGTACTTAGATGTTGCTGATCTTCACAGACTTGGTTTAAAACATCATGAATACAAGGAATGATAAAAATCAGACAAGATCGAGACATGATAAGCTGTGTTATCAGTTCTTTAACTTTTGGCACTACTGACCACATATAACTGAAAGTACGATGGAAGCAAATTGTCGACCAGTAAAAATGTAGTCTACGATTTGTGCCTCCGAAAGACTTAGCATAACACAAGCAAGTGACTTTGTACGCCCAACTTGTAAAGTCAAACACACTTGATTGAAATATTAAATGTAATACAAAGCCGCACATCATGCAACCCCTGATCCATATTCTTGTGACTTTGTATGTTTTTCATAAAACACAGAACTTGTTAAGTCATACGACGCGGATACTTTAGTTATTTAAAAGTTTAGGACAGCCAATGACTAAGTATATCGATGCAAATTTTTGTCCAACGTTTGTTCTTAGCCTATAACATAGTAGCTAAACTTACATAACAGACCAACTGGTTTATACAACCTCGGTCTATAACCTGAACTATTAAGACTCACCTTTATCTTAGACACCAAAGATACTAATAAACAACAGCATAGCATTCGCCGTAAAGTTTATTTTAATGAGTAATGGGGAAGGGGACTAAAAAACTTAGTTTCCAATAACTAATAGACCACTGCTTCACATGACAACAGGCCTATAATACGTTGCGTTTTAAAGTTAGCTTCAAAATTCAGTCAAGACTCTGTTAACATGTCGGTGGAAGGCACAACATTATCAAAGTCACTCGTGAATAAACGTACATACAGGATAACATTAAAACAGCGAAATACTATATATGAGATATACCCATGAACTTACTCAACTTCCTCTCCAGCAAACTGATACTTTTTTACAACATTTACTTTTTCAATGCTATTCTTTAATGTGTTATTCGTAGAAAATTGTGCTTACAGATTTCTCGGTACTGTCGGACTTTAAGAACTCGTTCCACACTCTATCTTCGTAGGCTTTCACATCCTCGGTAGTGGGAAGCGGTGAACAGTCGGAAATCTAAAACATGGCTACTATTGACACTAATAAGCAAACCTTGGACTTTTTCGAGCTCCTAAATAATCAGCTAATGGTTAAATCATAATTAAGCTGTACTCATACCTTCTAGCAGGACGTTTATTATTTGCCCGACTAGTTAAACTATCTAAGGACAGATCTATGGAGGGAATTGTTTTACCACTAATACAGTCTGAGTCTCCTGATTCTGACTCATCGCTATATTCACTTTCAGAGTCTTCTTCCAATTTAGAAGCCTTAACTAAATATTGAAAAATATGGTCCTAAAGTTAGGTCTACCTGGAGGGATATATTCTTCATCTGAAGTAGAGTCATCTTCCGAAAGACTCATATTGTATGTGGACAAAAGACCTGAAATCGAAGTTGCCTCTCTTTTTCACCGACGACCTTGAAAGACGGTCATCCCATTTTCGAAGTACCTGAGGTTTGTGGCCCATTTGTAAGTTAGCCTAACCTTGTAGTGTGTGTGATGAGCGACTAGATTAATTGAGTGAAATCGCATTTGGAATAAACGTCTTACTAAATTGCGTGTGAATTTTCGGCTTAATTGAATTTCAATTGACTGTAACTGCACAATAAGAGCTATTGTTCGAAATAATCAATCACTAGTTTCACTGGATGCAACCTAGATGAATGCGATCGTTCACGCATCCGTACCAGATTATGGGAGTGTACGTCGTGCTACGCATCCTTTGTAACAATTAACCAGCTTTGGCAATACATTCTCCGACATACGGACAGCTCTTCAAATATGTCTTCAAACCTCTTCATTTCTGACTTCTGATTTGTCTGGGTTGACATATTTCGATTAATAAAGGTGTTACTGGTTAAGACTTTGTCAAAGTCTGAGTATGTTTAATGGTAAGCGACGTGATCTGGTACTCTGGACAGTAAACTGTTAGTCTATTCTTTGTTGGATCATTATGTTGTAATGGCCTACTTTTACAAAGAGAATGCGATTAGCACAATGGACACAATTATTATCATAACCAATCGTACCAGTGGTTCTTTTACTGTACCTATTTGTTTAACTGTGCCAAAAACATACATTCTTCCGCCTATAAAGTTTGGCACGATCCCGGCATTATTTCGATGCCACGAGGTTGCCAAAAAAAAATATCTTGTTACAGTTGTCAACTGCCTTTTGGTTTTTGGCCTTCTGTCACACAGAAGCAGACTTCACGTGTGAAATTCCCCACAGTAGTGAAGTCATTACCGCACGATTTCAACAGATACGTCACATTTAGTATGTTTACTAGTGATGCTTTGGAACCTTGCGAAAATTTAAAGAAGGCTGTTCTTGGACTTGGATATCTAACCGACCGACAAAGATTAGATCAACTTTTCAGTAATATCGATTCACAACATAGCTCAACAACAGAATTGTTGCTACAAATGTGAGAAGTCACCGGTCAACGGACCATTGACGAGAGCCAGTTTAAATAGCCTTTCTTGTCTATTCTTTCACAACACGTGCAGGTAGTGCTTGTCTCATTACAAAATAGTGCTGTAGATGAGCGGGCTACATCTACCGACTGAATCCTATAGATCACAAAAACTGCGAACTCCAAGGTCTCTTCAATTAAGGAAAAGTTTCATACTATACGATCTGACTTCGCAGACCTTTTTCAAACTCTGACAAGTCACCGAAATATTCTTCATGACTGTAGACACTCCAAAACTCCTCGAAGAATTTCTTCACAGAAATAATCTATCTCCAGGTCACAAGAGATAGCCAACCCCGATTGCTGCTGGTACCATGTTAACGTTTCGAGAAACTGCAGAAAACCCGGTAGTTATTCAAACTCCAAACCGACCGACATGAAAAATGACTCACGAAACTTCGCAGCCCGCACATGTCAACCGCAATCGTAGCCGGCGAACACAGCCGTCTATCTCGTCGACACGGGAGCAGAAGTTAGCGTTCTTTCAACAAACTCTAAAGACGAAACGCACGAAGCAGTTTTCAAATTACAGGCGGAAAATGGAAAATCGATTAACACATACTGTGATCGATATGTTTATCCTAATATGGGTTTACACAAACACATTCATTGGACTTTCATTGTTGCAGATCTTTCTGTGCATATCATTGGCATGGACCAGCCACAACACTATAATCTACTCATCGACACGCGCGAACGGAGGTCAGTAGATGAAAATACTAAATTATCTCTTGTGTAACTACTTTTCCCAGTTGTAGATCATCTGCAGTCACAATGCGGTACACGATCGATCCATACTAGCAGCAAATACTCGATACCTACCCCGAGATATACCAAATGTGACCGAAAGTGCTGTGTGTAACCAGCAGGACTTCATAAACGTGGCAATAATGTGAATATTCAGATGTCTACTTATTACCGATCTGCAGGATTTTCTCAGACACACTACCGTCGCTAAAATCATCTTCTCTCAAGAAAGCAAAGTGTAGACCATTGGGGACTATCCTAAACCGTCCACAATCAGGCAACTACCCACGTTTGACAGCACAGTAGGATTGGAGAGTAACAAGTGTAGGTAAATAAGAGACTCAAGAGACAGGTGAGTAAACACCTGATAGCCGGACAGAGCAAGGAAAAACCGTACCTCATCAACATGGTGTGGGGTAGCCCGCTAGCGGCATTTCCTCAGATATTCTCGTTTCATTTTCTCACCCTTTTCTCTTGAAAGCTTTGATCAACATACAGAGGGCACATAGCAGACCGTCAACAATAGTTGTGGAAGAAATTAAATGCTACAAAACAAAGTAGCAAGCTAGTAAATGAAGAGGCCTCCACAGATTACCGTCGGTTGCTGATAGAGTTAGTCGCCATCCACTGGAAGTCAAATACTGAGCTATGTGGTGATACTCCCTCAGGCTGCGTAGGTGTACTTGTTTGGAAGATCAATCGAACCAACCTTCCTACGGAAGTCGATTCTAAGTGAAGCTAATGTAACAGCTTAGATTGATCTTTCGAGAGTTGACTTCTGGCAACTAAGTAAATGTCAATTATACACCCGCTTCCTTATTTTGTATAGGCATTATATTTTCTATTGTCTTACATTGAATGTTGAAAAGCTTCATGTGTTTGAACAGGTAATCTCACGCTCTACTGTGAATGCCACGAGATCTAAATAGGGACCTATTCACAACTAGTCTGGTTTATTCTATAAACAGAGCGAGGGCTACTTACAGGCACGAAAATTACCTCAGTAGACGCATCCGACTGGGCATTCGGAGCAGTCTTACAACAATATGTAAACATAACCCGACAACCTTTAATATACTTCTCGAGACGGTTGCAAGACTCCGAACACAGATACGGCACTTCAAGTTAGAAACTCCTGGTCATGTACTGTGTTGTACAGCACTTTTTACTTTTTGTGGAAAGTCGAAAATTAACTCTTTTCACTGATCACAAACCTAGTGTCTCTCTTTAAGCTCATCTTCAGACAAGTACTCACCTCGTGATTCTCGAAAACTGGACTACATTTCTCAGCTTACTCCAGACGTTTTGTCTCCTATTACTTCCTTGAACATTTTCCAAGGAATTGACCTTCTTAAACTCGTCCAGCTTCAAAAAGAAGACACTGATCTTCAGCACGTGTTATCTTTGACAACCCTAAAACTGTGTATTAAACCGGTAAGGAAACATTATTATGAGACATGTCTACAGGTAAGGATCGTCCAATAGTGAGGAAACATTATTGACTCAATGTCTTCAACACGTCGCACAAGTAATCCTCATTCCGGTGTTCGTGCAACCATAAGGCAGAATGATTTTTTGGCCTGGTATGAATAAAGACGCAAGTAAATGAGCACGCTCCTGCTTAAGCTACCAGAAATCCAAGGTGATTGGATACAACAAATGTCCCTTATGCTCATTTAAAACTCCCGATGGTTTTTTCGACCGTGTTCATCTGGATTCGGCAGGACCCTTGCGAGATCCAAATGGACTATCTTACATCTTAACTTGCATAGACCGCTTCACTCGATGACCAGAAGCAATACCTATCAAGGACACTACTGCTGAAATGGTGGCCCACGCCTTCGCCAAATGGTGGCGAGCGAAATTCAACTGCCCTTCAACTATCACTACAGACTATGGACGCCAGTTTGAATCTGGACTTCTTCATTGTTCGACTACATAATTAAAAATCACACGATTCTGAACGATAACTTATCACTAACAGGCAAACGGGTTGGTAGATCGCCGTCACAAATAGTTAAGAGCTCTATAATCAGCCGCAAACAGTTCATAGTAAACCACTCGTTTTACTTAGTGTTCGCAATGCAGCGAAACCTCACGTAAGATGCACTTTGGCTCAACTCGTTTAAGGAACAACACTCCAAGTCTAACGACAGTTCGTGGATCCTTCGTCTTCTCCAATGATTATGGATCCGAACTCCTACACGAACACAATTAAAAACACAGTGCGTTCAATTAAACTTGTTTCCACTCGACAGCAGTCAACCGATGTTTTCATCAAACACGTCTTTGTGCGTCGCAATTCATTTCCGCGAGCTCTCGAAACAACATACGGAGGACCCTTCGAAATTCTCCAGCGTGAACTTAAGTACTATATCTTTGATAGGAACAGAACTAACGATAGCATCAGCATCGATCTCATTAAGGCAAAGTATTTAGAAAGAAACCGTATTCATATCGATTTTCCCTCGGCGCAATCGAAAGAAACGAGTCCTGCATTGACGATACCTCGTTCGATAATCAACAGTCACTACGACACTTATGTTGTTTCTGACAACCGACTAAGAACAATGCGTCACGGAAGAGGAGTAAGGTTTTTAGAACACATAAACTATTACAGCACGTCAGACACTACATAACACCTTGGGTTGTCTCGAATCTTCTGCATTATTTCTTTGAAGAAAAGCAAAAACAAGCTATTTTAATATGTTTACATGTATACTTATTGTTTTTGTATTTTTCGTTGCTAATATGTCTGCTTATATGTGTTTATTATTTTTCAAAAAACCCGAAAAATCATTCTGTAAAAATCATTTTTAGGCTATTTCATGCTTAGGAAATGCATGTATATTAGTTTATTTTTCTGTTTTCGTTCGTTTCGTGTCATTACGCACGTACAAGTGTGATTCTAAATGTACTTACGATTTATTTTATTTTTTGCTGGTACAGACGAAAAGCCGATGAATATTACGATGAATCGAAATTTTCATTGTACCTGTTTTTTATTAATATGTTGTAATACATGACTTTTTTAGTGTGGAAAGATGATCAGAGGCTGCTGTTCATTGTAAGCTAACGGAAGAGTGTTTAACAACGACAAACTCGTTGGATTTAAATTCCCTACTGGCCACGTCGTGCGGTCATTACTGCAGCACTAATATGGAGGAATTCTGCAGCAAAAAATAGTAGTTCAGTGACTCCGTAAGTCCCAAACAT